GAGACTTGAGCGTGGGATCCCCCCGCTCAAAAGTTCATGTGCATCGAATTGTACTGCTATTGTTATGATGACCGATATTGCAGATGGTAATGGATCACGTTTTAAGCTTGGGAATATTCAAGGAACCTTTTCGAGGCTTATCATCATTATACCCGCAAGCAATCAGAGTGAACTCACCATTCGGGAGATGCTCTCAAATTTTCGGGCAAATGACAACCTAGGAAGACTTTCTCACACGCCCAAAAACTCTGGAACCTAAAACGATGAGAGCAGCTCCAGAATTATTTAATGAGGGACATGAAATAGTTATTTTGTGACTTTTGCTCCATCAAGAGCACCTTCTGCTAACTTTGTCAAACGATATGGTAGCCGGATATCCGTTACCGACTTGGTTAGATCCGCCAGTTGTGGCCAGAAGGAATTTAAAAGCTAGCCTTACTCAAGGACTGACTTCACCCTGAGTCGGCGTATACCCTCTAAATGCGCCCATATACGACTTGAGGACAAGAACTTTAAGAAGAGAAATATACATATTAAATTATTAAAATGTGAATAAGCTTTAATGTAAAAGAACTATCTTTCTTTGTAATTTATTCATACTTAATCAAAAAACTTAAATATAGTGAAAACGCTAACTCTGTCTGCTCATGCATCGCTACAGGGTCAATTATACCTCCAGTTTTCTTATTTTCTGCTTCAGATGATTTCAATGTTCTTTATTTTTTCTAGATATCTCAGGAGACGCATTTATTTAATATATTTTATTGCATTTCTCACTTCCTTATAAATATAAGCAAAATTATATAAGATACACGTATTATTTACGCTAACACCAAAACCCTAAATATATTGATTTTCAGTATTTGATACACGAAACAAAAACGTTATTTTATTCGCGGTCTCCGTTTTCTGAAATCAGATACTAAACTCATAGCTGCTGTCTCCCACTGCTACCTTTTCCCTCATTCCTTACGCCGAAAAAACAGGTGTTCTCTCTTTTTTTTTTTTTTTTTTTCAGTATGGAACAAGCAGATGGTTTTCTTTCTGCGTAAGACAGACAATTTCCTTTCGCACTGAGAACAGTCCTATGTATTTATTTCTTGCGCTCCCTTTTCTTTCGTTGTGAAGAATATCTTGATGTTTTTGAGTTACCTAGTTGGTCATAGCTTTCTTTAGCTGCGGCCAGACATTTTCTCCGCCCAAATGTGAACATTTGCCTTTGTTGTCTATACCACTTAAGTGTTTCTTTTCCAGCCAACTTAACTACATCTTTTTACAACCGGATAGTTAAAGGAGAAGATAACCAGCATTTGCAATATTTTCTTACGAAAGAATGAATAATACACAGTTATTCTTTCCACGAAAACACCTCATCTTTGATTCAGTTTTGAAAGCTTAAAGCAAATTACTAGAGACATTATCAATTTCGTTTTTACTACCAGTTGCTGTTGTAAAAACTTCCATAAATTTTGCAATCCGTGTTATTAAAATCATACTTTATGTGTTTTTTTATTTTTTCTCGAAAATCTTAATAGGAGATTACTTTTGTATGTTTACAATATAATTATACGGTTCTGTATAATTATATGTGATTTTCTAATGGGTAGAAAGAATCAAATGAATAGAATTACTCTCAAGGATTAGCTACCAAGAGAGAAAAGTGGTGAGTGACTCTGACAACCGTACTGAAGGGTCAAGGATCGAATCCTGGAGAAGACATGGATGTAATATGTCCGTCCTTTCCTCCAAAGAGAACAACGGTGGTTCAGGGGCTTCCATAATAAATAGACTACCGCTTTCGGCCTTTGTAGCGGTCAACACATATAAACGACTAGAGGCCGCCATTGGGAAAGGGAAAACTGAGTGATTAGAAAAACTTGCTTAATCGTAATAGACAATAACAAGTACTAGAATTTTTTTCTGCATTTTAAAATTCATATTTCCACATAAAATGCATTGTGGGTTTCATAAAACCATAAAATTAACCATATTCATAATTAACCATAAAATACACGAATATTTTAGAAGACGCAGTTCTCAGTTTTATTTATAAGACACATTCTGTGAGACACGAGGAAACTATTAATTTTAGTAGGAACAAAATGTGCATAATAGAAAAGGATAAAGAAAGTATCAGGTTTTGTACTTTCTTTATCCTCTTCTATTTATTTATTTTTCTATTATTTAAAGAATTTTTATAAAGATGAGTTAACAGATTGCAGCAAAATTATTTTACGCTGTACGTTATTAATATATCTAGGTTAAAGTATTTTATTACGAATTCTTTTCATCAGGATTAAGCAATAGCATATGCTAAACGCATAACATTTTTAATATTCGAATAGTGCATTTTGAATCAGACAGATCATGACGATAGCTGGATGGTTCCAATGAAGATTAAATCAGAACTAATTGCTACATTTATTTAGTCTCACAAAATATTCTTCAAATATACAGGGTGGTCATAAAGTAACTTCCGTGATATACCCCAGCGGCCTATCAGCTCAACCAATCGAAGTGAAATTTCAGATATTATTATTTGAACGTATGAGCTCGAAATTGTGAAGATTTGAAACAATAGAGCTATCATACTCACCGCGAAACAATTTCGGAATTTTCCAATGACAGACACATACTTTCTTCATGCATAAATAGTTCAGCGCATCGAAAAACTGTAAATGGTGTTGGACTGTAAATGGTGTTTACAATGCTCTTTATTGCAAATGTTTCACGCCAGCAGTTTTCGTCATACGTGAATCTTTCCAATGCGCTTTATAATTTTTTATTACACTGATCAATTTCGGCAGTAAAAATGTGTTGTTATTCGAGAATTTAGAAACACTAATTGAGAGCTCGATTGTTTTAAATCATCACTATCTCGATCGCATACCTTCAAATAATTATGTCTGAAATTTCATATCTATTGGTTGAGCGGATTGCTCACTAGGTGTTCATATACCGGGTAAGTTTTTTTATGAGCACTCTTTACATGGCTGAATAAGACTCGAGTTGTATACTTTATAATTAGCAGCTCCATTTTCACATTTTAGGAATCATAAATTCTGATTGAAGGAAAAAGACGAACACTTTTTCAGCGGAGGGAAGCATGATAAAGAAGCATGATTGAGATACTGATACTAGATTACTAAAGAGAAATTATAATACTACTTTATTTCTATTGGTTGGTTAAAGTTTTAGTTTATGTATGTTTCATTATTATAAGATAAAAGACATTTGTTTCACTTTTGCTGATAAGTATGTGCATTCATTATTAACGTTATATGCGAATCATCTAATATAAATAATGCTTGAATTGATGCATTTTAAAAAGATTATAAACATTTTGCTATTTTTGCGATAAAAGGAAATAATATATTAAACAAGAGTCTTAAGGGACTATTAAAAATGAAAGTTAATATTTTATCTCACGTACATGTGCACAAAATATCAAAAAAGGTTTACTTAAAATTTTTTCAAGTATTATGTACAATATACCTATATGAACGATTTTATAGTATGGATATTGTCGGGGTGACTTAAAAATTCAGAGTTAAGTCATTTTATCTATTTGTGAAATAATTTATGCAATATCAAACAGAAAATATATTTAATTACTAGGCAACTTGCTTTACTAGTACATTCCATTTAAAAACGCAATTTGCTTTAATAGTCCATGTCCCGTGTTAGGCAAATGCATTTCATTCTCCACTTTGCATAGAAATCTAATAATTTATTTTCAAGAGGTTTTGAGCCATTTGAAATGGATTATAATTATATTTTATACACTGTTATTTGTATTCAAAACATACATTAAACATCTGAGTTTTTTATAATATTGTGCTTGCAAAATAAGGCACATTTATTAAGATATTGAAGAAGAAAATGTTAATGCCAAGACAAAGAGATTAACTAACCTGTGGGGAAAAATGATGCGTCAAGTTCAATCGTCTCTACATGTCAAATGGACCATTTCACATTTTATTTTGCAAATGCTGTTGAGGGAAATTCTGGTCATTACACTTTCTTGTGCCTCTTAACTGAAGATAATCACGCGAAATTTTCACAAACTGATATCCTCGTTTTTCAGAGTCTTATAATTAAAGATAAACATCACGATCGAAGTTTTAAATAATTATGCAATGACTCTGATCTTAAAGTCTAGATCTTTCTTAAGTATAAGTTCCTCATACTGCATAAATTTAATTAACTTTTACATACTGTAAATATGCTCAAAGAATTCCACATGTGAACTTTATAAACTGTGTTAACCTTCTCCAGCATACCATTTTAAGTAATCGTTTCTTAAAATTGTATTGGTTTCTTGTAAAAATTATTTTCTGTAATCCATTCTTACTCATAGCGTTTTTCTCAAACGATTTTAATCCCATGTACACCTCCTTATTACAATTAGTAGATTTCATCATAATATTGTATTCCTAACACTTATTACATTTTTCTCATGTTTATCTACTATTTTTATTACATCAAAACATATGTTCTCAATTTAATTTCTGAGTTTCAAGTTGCACTGAAGCTACATTGTAATTTTTTATGTCTTTAATCATTATTTTTAACAACACCCTATGCTGGTTGTACCATAGGATTGCGCGTTGTGTCATAATGGCCATACTTTACACCCTTCGGACAGCCGCAGTTGTTTATCTGCTCAACTTTCTTTGTAAACGTTTGCAATTCCTTTTAGGGTTAGTTAGAATGAGAGGGCATTACCAGTTAGTTGACCGATGATATATCTCTGGGGATCCCCATACATTTACCTGTACTTGTAAATCTTGCTTTATTCTCATGGATTAGTTTACATCCTATATTAAAGGTCATGATTTTTTTGTGCTCAAAATACTGTAAATTCTAAGTAAATGTTTAAAATGAAAACCTCACATCGTTATTTTTTCTTAACAGTTAAATACTTTTCATATTTCAAAGAAACAATAACAACAACAACAACAAAAAAAGTATTTAATTTTAAGCAAGCGTATGTCAAATCTTAGTTTAGTTGGAATATACTTGCAACCATATGCAGATATGCCCCTTATTTACCACTTTTTTTTTTTTTTTTTTTTTTTTTACAAATGTAACGCACCAGCCAATACCTGCGGGAAGCACAACGAAGAGGCAGGGAATCCTCTGGAGCCCAACTCTGTTCCGACCCCAGCAGGACAAGGTCCCATAGTCTTGTTCTGATCTAGGAATGTAGTGGACAACACTCTTCCGTCCGGTTGTCAGAGTGGGAACTAATTCCAGAGTACCGAAGGAACTATTGAATTCCCAGCGAAATGTGACTTCATCAGGATCAGCTTCTACTTCGCAAGAAATTTCTACTGGGAAATGTAACATTGCACCGTACACAGTCTGTTGACCACTTTTGCACACTGGAGCAACTGCGGACATAAAAGCCATTATCTTACAATTGCAATTAGATACAATAAAATTAGATAGATCCATCAAGATCAAAAACATAAAATAACAATTCTAGTGAGATAATGTAACTTAAAAAACTTGCAGTAACTGAAACTTGAAGATATGAATACAGTCATGTTGCTGGTCATAAAAACTGCAATTATCAATCTCTGAATGAATTTTGTACACATGAAGATATATACATCACATTCATATGCATAATGAGTAATAAACATCAATAATAAAGGAAACAAAGCCCTTACACGTATTACAACACTAATTAATTATAATTTAATCACCGTCCTTAAAATTGTATTACCACTTATGTAACTTACCTATTGTTTCACACTTACTCCTTCAAATGGCTCTGTAAGTAATTTATCTTATTTTTCAAACTGAAATGTATGTACTTCATTCATGCATGTGATAACAATGAGACGTACCCTAACAACGTATATGTTAAAAGATCATTACAATGTAGGTATTTTTCAAGGTACAGTGTATGTGTTAAAAAGGGATCATTAAAGAAGATAAGTATTGCGATAACAAGTAAAATTTGAATTTTAGAGATTACTGAGGTTAGTAAAGAATTCACTTTCGAGAAAAACAGATACTTTTTTAATTCTGGTAAAATCTTGAGCAGCTGAATTAGAGAGTTTCATTTTTCCATAGATGTGATTTTCATGTGACTTTGCATACACTTAAAGTCTCAGTGATGTAAAAGTTATATACGTCAAATTTCAAGAAGATTGAATAATATTTAGTGGTTGCACACATAAATCACTTTTATCTTAAACTAGTGAAATTTCTGATAATGAAGTACTTTGTACTAATGGACTTCTTATATATTTCTCTCCTTGGCCACCAGCCTAGTCCATGATATTAAAAAAATTTCCGTACCTCCAGCTACAGTTTACCGAGTTCGGGTGATCAATAGAGGTTAAATGGCAAAGAAAATTGAAGAGTCACTCTTTGGATATTCTTCTCATTTGGTCCTGTATTGTGATAGTAAACTGTTGCCTTCAGTTGCCCATGAAAGTGTCAAAACTTTGGAAGATAAAATTGCAATTTTACTGTACGAAATTTTGAGCATTTGCTTGAAGTATCTGTTGTCCTGAAAACCCTGGTGAGCAAATGTCTGAAGTAGTTCTTCGGGAAGTGCATCGATTTAGGATACATGACAATATCATAGGCATACCTTTTTATAGTACAGCATCTAATACAGGACTGATCCATAGGGCATGTACCATAATTGAAAGGGCATTCAGACGAACATTGTTGTGGTTAGGGTACCGACACTACACACATGAATATTGAAGAGTGTTTGCCACTTGAAGCATACTGTCAAGTGATCCAGAAATCAAGATTTTTCGAAAGTTCCTAAGTATGTGGGCTTCATTTGATAAGAAGTTATATACGACAGCAGTGGATGCAGAAAGTTCCGTTAAAGGATTCTAGAAGAGCAACAATTGAAAAAAAAATTTAGTACAGAGTTATTACAACACTCATTTTTTTACCTAAGAGGTTGGGGCTCTGTAACAAGCAAGGTGGATGGACAAAATATGCACTGAAAATTTCCTCTTCACTAAACAGTTTAATATTCCTCAAAGAGAATTGAAAGGAATGAAACAGGTTGCATATTTTGTGAGCTTTGTATATGTTCGCTTTTGGCAGGGGACAGTTGTAAGCCGATGGGTTTTAAAGAATGATTTGGATAAGTTACAGCTTCTGAGCACTTCTCCAGATGCAGACGTCAAAAAGAGGCTCTCGCAGTTACTAAGAGACTCATTTGTTATATGTCAGAAACAAACTTAGGATAGGCCTTTTTGGGTGAAAGTATTACTCAGGCTGATAAGGAAATATGACCAAAAATTTAATCACCAAACCTACAAATAAAGGAAAATTATACGATTAGAGAGTAAAAATCTAGTTTTTGAAGGAAACGACCTGAGCCATTTCATTACTAATAAAACAAAGACGTTCTTCGAATTGTTTGGGAGTCATGACATGGAGGATTATTGCAGTGACTCTCTAAAGAAGTTCTGTGAGCACTCTTAAGGTGGTCAATGATATCGTAGAAAGAGGAGTTGCTCTGATCGAAAAGTTTAACGAATCGGTCAGGGACGAACAACAGAAACAATTCTTGTTGAGGGTAGTGGAGCATCACAGAAAAGTTTTCGCCAAGTGAACAAAAAAAAGGATTGCATCGTTCATAGTTGATTAATATAACACATGTACTACCTTTTAATATTAGCGTCTAGTTTTAATAATATTCTGTAATTTCCAGTTTTCCCAATAAAGGCAATTAAAATAGAAAAACTGTATTTGCTGCTTACTTTTACAAAACTGATCAAAGTGTACAACCTCTAAATATTATCCAGTCTTCTTGAAATTTGGCAGATATAACTTTTTCATCGCTAAGACTCGGAGAGTAAGCAAAGATTGCAAAAATTTACGTTTTGTATTTTCCTTACAAAATGAAGCATCCTAAGCTGCACGCAAAATATTATTATACATTACGTGCGGTAGTTTGTATATTACTTATAGATACGAAAATAATTTTAAACAAAGTTAAATTTTCGAAAACTTCTGCATAATTTAAACAAAACGCACGTCACAGAAAAATTACATACACAAAAATCCAAAACCATATACTGTAGAATAATTAAGGTGAAATATCAATTCAGAATTGCGTAGCTGCGTAAAGATAGGTTTAAGACAGCATTTTCAAATTCTTGCACTTCTAAAAATATTAATCCTGTAAAGATTCGTTTTGATTTTAAAAAGACCAAAATTAAGTAATCCTATTAAACGTCATGCAGTCATAACATAAAAAGTTAAATCAGATAGTTAACAGACCCAAAATTGTTCAAACATAGCCTTGGAATGAAACATTTTTATTAATTTTCGCTTTTCTGATCTCTTAATTTTATTTTATAGCTAGCAAGGAAATAAAAAGTTCTATAACCTGATTTCAGACATTTCAAACTGTGATGAAAACTTCAATGGACATTTATTGAATATTATGATGAAATAAAAAAGCAACCTCAAAAACCAGATATTATTTCTCTTCCCTGAATGTCAAATATTGTGACAGTTTATGACATAGTTTTCTAATATACAATTTGAAGAATGATGTAAAAAAAACTAGTTTTAAGAGACCTGCTATGTGTCAGAATTCTTTAATTAGCAAGCATAGACAATTTTGCCGTAATAATGCGTGTGATTGTGCAGTGCTTCGCATAAACCAGAATTATTTTCTGCTGCAATGCGTTTAGTTCTTTATTTTTTAAATTAAAACCAGTCGAAAGGCTTATGGATTTTAAATAACACTCTAATAAATTTACATAATTTCTGAAAACTCAAAAGTACGTAAAAAATAAAATGCATGAGTTCTTAAGATTAATTTCTTCATAGCATAATAAGACATTATTTAATTTACATTTTAAATTATTGCTATATGTGCCATCAATTTCATAAGTAATTAGAGAAATTTAAAAAAAGGAGTTTTTAAATATTGAAGTTATATTAAAATATACTTATGAAAATTTTTCAAGTGGAATGTTTTCAATAAAAAACATTAAAACAATTAAAATTAAAGAATCATGCTTCAGTTATCAGAGCATGCATGACTTTGTGAGACTAGAATTAAAAGAGTATTGCCACCAACAATGCATTTCTCACACATTTATTGTTATTAAAAGCGAAAAAAATCTTTCTATCCGTAAAAACATTATTCTACCTAACTAAGGAAGTACGTTAAGATTTGATTATATATAAGATATTTAATTTATGTTTCGTGTAAGAGTTTGATCTCCTCATCACTTAAAGTTGTGAGCACCTAAATGATAGCTTAAAGATCTGTCAGAGCTATGAGTATAACGATAGTAGAAGATCTACCAGTTTCTAGATAAATGCCAAAGCCGAAAATTAGGTAAGGGAACACTAGAAAAGTTTTTCCTGAAAATAATTTTTTTATTTGCCCGTTGATATGAAATAAGGCATTATGTGTCATTGAAAGATTTTTTCTTGTTTTGAAATTACTTAAACCTATACGGAGTAAACTTAAAATTTCATAAATGGAGAGTTATTTAAAGAGGTCTTCCATGAGAGTCGAGATATCTGTAGGGCCGAATAATCAGCATTTGACGGCTTGGTCTGCTGCTAGTAGGTAATATAGTTACAGCAAGACATTTGGAGCACTGAAAGTATCCTTAGTTAAATTTTAAACATACATGTATATAGTTTAGCAAAAACACTTTAAAACTCTCAAAAGAAACGAGATAAAGAAGAGATAAAAGAGGTAAAGAAATTCGTGAGATGAACAATTTTATTTTAAACTAAATTAAAGAGATATAATAGTATTATAAAACCTTCATTGGTAAGTACATCATTCATCATTGTACATTTAAACACCAATGTATAACTATTATCTGGTGCAATTTCAATATAATTAGAATGAAAACAATTCAAAATATGCTGAGAATTATCGGAAAGACAGGAAATGCGGTTTACAGATCGTATCTTTCGACTGACCAGCTGGATTCAAAATAGCTGCAAAGCATTATTTTGAAAAAAAAAAAAAAAAAAGTGATAGAATACGATATCCCTGTACATGTTTTATTACACTTCATTAAATATACCTTTCATCTACAGAGTTGAAAAAACATTTTCTCTCTAAGTATTAGTCAGATTTTAACCAACTATAATTAAAGCCTTGTAATTTTATCTTCAGCATACAATGCGTAAAATGCAAATCACTTAACAGCCTAACTTTAAAAGGATCCATTAATTAAATGAAGGTTTTTGAACCGAGATGGTATCGATCCTCGTTTTGGTCTTTAATTTACTTTTATTCATTTCGACGTTATAAAATAAAAAGAAAATTATTCAAGGCGTATATACATAAAGCTGAAAACATTTTCTAACACTTTACAGGAGATACTTTTAAATGGTCTGTAACAAAAACTACATCTTTTCTAACGAACTTAATGAAGTATCTCTAGAGTAGCCTAATTTGTATCTTGAAAAATAAACGCGGAGCCCATTACACATATGATACACTATGCTGTTTATAATGAAGTAACAAAGAAACCGGCAAAAAAGAATGTAAAAATAAAAAGAATATTTCAACGAATACTCTCACGCGAAATTGTCATTAACAGAACTTATTATCGGCCCTCTATTTTTTAAAACAACGTGGCCATTTTTCCACTTAGCAGCCTGACATGATGACACGAGCAACAAAATTTTGGTCGACCTCAAACCATCACTTTTCACGCAGATTTCGGAAAAGGCTGTGATTACGAGAAACTGCAAGTCGGTGTAATTTTAGATGTTTGGTCCACATTTTTCATTTTCAGGAGTTGGAAACGCCCAAAACACTTACTTTGAAACCGATATGTACCATTTTTATTTCGGATTAAATTCCATATTTTAAATACTTTCAGATATCGTTTTAAGGTCGCTAAAATTATCAGTTGAAGAGTATTATACGCAAATTATTTATTTTTATTTTTACTAAATTTAATTTTTCTTCTCCTAATTGAATTCAGTTAAGAGAATATTCAAATATTATTAGTTATTATTTCTAAAACTAATTTTAATTCTCTAGGAGCAAAAAATAATTTGGCGTCATTACAAGTCGTAATTAATACTGCTTATTTAAAGCAATACCATTTCTTTAAAAAAAAAAAAAAAAAAAAAAAAAAAAAAGAAAGAAAAAAAAACCCTACTAAAGAAAATTTTTATATTTTAGCAAAATATGCAGCATTTATGAAATTTTCCACACATTGTCAATAAATAAAAACAGAGTTCACAACTGATATTAAAAGCTGTTCTAGTTTAAAAAAATACTATGCTTCTTGCATATTACATAATTTTTATGAAATTTATGAATTTATTTTATGAATTATAATTCTATATATATATTCCATATTACATGCCAAAATTACTTACACTGAACTCTTAGATAAACGTGGTTGCTTTCTCCTTGTCCTTCACTGTTAGTTGCTGTGCAACTGTATCTTCCTCTGTTCCTTCGTTGTACTTTCTGCAATACAAGAGATTGGTTGCTAACAATTACTCCAGCTGAAATATTAGTCACCAGTTCCTGCCCTTCAAATCGCCATCCGGTTTCATGCACCCATGGAGATGCCCGTATGTTGCATTCGAAGTAAACGTCATTACCCTCCAAAATGTTTGAATGGCGTAACTTGCTCCCTAATCGTAGATTTAGTTGAGGAACGACTAGTAATAGAAAGAGAGAGAGAAAAAAAGAAGCTTTGTTGATTAATAATGAATGCTAAGAAGTTTTTTGAGTTTTATAATAATTTATTTACTACATACAATTTAATTAATAATGATATACTAGATATTTTTACGAAATATACTGTTGCGTGCGTTATGGGTTCGTAACAGATTGAATGCACACAGCTCCGATGATAGGTTGATGAGATTTTATAAAATTAATACTTCAGAGAGTTGGAACTTTTCACGAAGCTAGTCGTACAATTGTTCACATTATTACAGAATTCAATCATTTGTTGCATTTCAAACTACTATGAACGTTAAGCGTAGCGAAATGCAAAGCGCAGCTAAAGAGAAAGCTACCCGGAGATATCTCAGCACTCCGAACTCACGTCGAACTAACAGCTAACATCAATAACTGAGAACAGATGTTCTCACCGGCTTTACAAAGTTTTCACCCGGTCGTCGAGATATTTCAATTACTTTCTACTTCTCGAAATTACTAGAAGATAATAAAATAAGAATCGAATTGTAGTTTAAACTAATACAGTGATCAATTCCACTTATTCAATTATAATACTTTTTACGGTGATATAGAGCTGCACCTGGGATAAACTGACCTGACTTTGTTATAAAAGTCTTGCAACAATGTTAATAGTCATCCTGACAAAAGGTATTATTTCTTCTATGTATAAATATTACATGGGCATACAAGGCCTGTGCACAAGCTTAGATATTTTAATTACGAACAATGTTCTGTCTAGTAAGGTACAGAAGATACTTATATAATCATGACAGTTATGTGCACAATTTAACATTATCTGCTTTCATATTTACAATACTGTTACTGGGATAATCACAGTAAATTTTTAATTCAGTTACACATTGACTGGCGTTTATATGTTACTTTTAACTGCTTTACAACATTAGATTTAACAAGTACACGAAAAGTGGATAGTAATAAGCTTACACTACAATAGTTTATGCTGTTGCATTCCAGTTACTATTCTACGGGACGAGCTATTTTTCTAATGTTGATTTTCAATTGTTGTAATATTCTCTGGCGTAGTCTGAGTTAGGTGACTCAATTGTTCTGGTACCTTAGCTGATTTTCTTGGAATAGTTGCAACTACTGTTATAGTTAGTACCTTTCAAGGAAGTCTCTTTGCTACTGTTTAATTAACTTGGATAGTACTGCTGTCAGAAATAACTGTACTCATCTTCTGTTCCGTTATCTGCGATTTGTCACTTCAATGTACTCTACTTTTGTAAGGACTCAGCACTTTGGTTTGCTATTGAAATTATGTTGCGAAGATCCAATTCTCAAGGACAAAAAATTCTTAATACTTTGCTGAGCATAGTTTAATTACCTTCTCTTTGTTACTTTTCGCCTGTTTGTTGCTCAGGTAACCTCCGCCTACTGCGGCCGGTATTCACTGCTTGGTGTCTTTAAATGCAATTTATCTGTTGTGTAGGCAGTTGAAGAGGTAGTGAAATGAACTTGGAAATGAACCACCGTCATTATATATATATATATAACCTAATAGGCACTTAATAAGTAGGTGGGCCACCTTTACCTCCTATAAAGAGGCAGACAAATTTACATGCATGTCTTCTCCGGGATTCGAACACAGGCCCTTCGGTATCGCAGCCAAGCTGCCTTCCCTAACCACTATACCGTTTGGGCGGCTTGGCAGTGTTGCTTGAACGGCACTTTGTTACGCTTCCCGGCTGTCTGAACTGAGCTGCTGAGTTCAGCAGCTTTAAATTGTAGAACTTCTTTCTTTTTTACTTAGGCTCCAAGACAAGGCTTTTTTAGAATGTGTTAATTTTTGTAATTATGTATTTCATGTCGCATTAGACTTTAATATATTCACGGAAGTATTCGAAAGTAGCAGAGTTTTTATTTCTGTTATATTTTTTAATTCTGCGTAGCCGTTAGTTTGATAGGTTAATAAATCAATTTTATTTTAACCCTTCCCTTTGAATCGAGATATTTATAGTTAGAAGGTGACGGTCTGTAAGTCGTTTGAGTTACTACCTATAAGGTTCTATGATTCATCTGGCAATTTAAGGAATTGCATCTTATAACTAAAAAATGTGTGGCTTAGTTTATGCGGTTATGGCAAGAAAATCGAGGACTACCTGACTAAGAGGAGAGATGCCTTTATGGAGGACTTTCTAAGGGAAATGACTCGTATGCCACTATATATTCGCCAGATTCAAATCTCGGTCCGAAATACAAGTGTTCAGCAATTTTTATTACTCGGACGCTGGTGGGAAATCGTAATAATAGGGCAGAGATAAAAATATTTAAGTTTTACGGTTTTTTCGTTTCTTATTTAATTATAAGTTTCTACTTAGTTATACTTACTCTACTTAATTATGATTACTAATTATACTAATTACTAACTAGTACTACCAGTACTAGTTACTTTTCTATGCACACCTATTTATATATTTATTTATCATCACTGCATGAATTTACAAACTTACATTTATTTGCAGTATGCAATAATGGTCACATTTATACTTTCTTAGTATACTTAATTTTTTATATTTATATTTTGTTAGTCTACTAAATTTGCCATACTTTTACTTTGTTATTACATTTAATTTGTCGTATTTATACTTTGCTAACATTCTTAATTTGTCATGTTTATACTTCGTTAATCTGCTTAATTTGTTAGTATTTCGAATATCCTGGTTAGCATTTAGCTATTATCTGATAATTACACAACATTTACAATTCAATTTTATATACTGCTTGCCATAATTTTATCCTGAATTCTAAAATATATACAAAGGCCACAGAGCAAGCTACGTTTTTAGCACTGTCTGGATGATGTCCATTCTTCTGATTAAGTAAATTAATGGAAATATAACTTACTGGTATTAAATTTAATTTCTTTTTCCTCACAGACATGCACAAATTTTATAAAGCGTCTATGACTAAATTTCTTCAATTTTATGTACCATCGCTGGCTATGCGATTATTAGATAATAAAGAGCCACACTTTCATTGCTACTTTATCTGTTTGAAATAGTAAGGAAAGCTAATTTTAGAATAACTGCGAAAGATGAAATTTCATTAATATATATAAAATGAATGAATTTAAAGAAATTCATTATAAAATTCTTCATTGCAAATCAAATATTTTAATAAAAATTAGAAGGATTATAAAACAAAATGATTACTCTCAAGTTCTCGAGATTTCATGTAGGGTAACAATCATCATAATATTGAAGAAATGAAAAAAAAATATTAAAACAGAAATTAAGTGTTCGAGTCAAGTGTTAAGTGCTATCTAATATAAAAATCAAATAATGTGTAACAGATTATAAGTACACTATGCGTAAATAATAAACAAGAGGGGAAAAACAACCAACGATTAGGCTTAACGCGGAGAATAAAACACTTTCGGAAATAGCAGGGATAAATCAGGATTTCTGTCTCCAAATAAAAAACACGAAAATAACGAAAAATGTAATAAATAATGTATAGCATTTATAATATCAGTTTATTGGTTCTATGATGTTCATTATATTATTTCACAACTATGACTTTGATTGTGGAATACTCGGCTGTTATTCCTAAGAGCAGAACATAAATCAATGCAAATATCTTAACTTCATTTAACAAAATTATTAGGCTTGAAGCATAGGTCATAATATCCTAAGAACTATATAAAAGGAATACTGTAGATTTGAAAACGAAATTTTTATTTCTTATATCTCCCCCCAAATACGATAAAAATACAGCGCTATATTTTCCTGCAGAAGAATGCTATCTTCCAGCACTGTCCAAAGCAAGACAGCTGATATTCGTAAGTAATTTTTTTTGACAGGAAGGCAACTTTAACGTTTCTTATCCTTTAATAGTTGTACATATATTTGTCACTAGAATTCAATATTTCCCATGGTATGAGAGAAAAGAGGTTCTTTATCTTAAATACTGCGAATTTCAAGTCGTTTTATATGGTCTGAATGCCTTGCTTCGAATTTTTATAAGCTGTGCTTGTTAAGTGTTTAAGAGATTTGAAATATTTATCCACTATAGGGCTTTATGGGCAAAGAAAATTTAGCAAATACGACTTTATTGATACTTTGAAAAGAAAACTGCAAGTGATTAAAGGTATGTAAAATCTGTCCACAATTAAAAGTTTCTCAAATCAGAACTGCCATATTCAACCATAACCATTCCTCATTCCTTCATTTACCCGTATAAACTGGCCATTGAAAGGGTCAAGGGATTACAGTATTTTTTTCCTTCAAGATGACGTAAAAAGCTAAACATATATATATCTATATCATAGTGTGACTGATTCCTAATAGACAATTTTTCAACAATGGACAGTAGCTTTTTTTATTTTTCATATATTTCTTCACATATTGTTATTACGTAGGTTTTGGCAATATCTGCGTAATATGCAAATAGTATAAATATATATGCACACTCAATTATTCATAATGTTGAAAAATATACATACACAAACACACACACACACACATATATATATCTTGTAAACTTGCATTTAAGCTCCAACTATTTTCTTTTCTTTTAATATATTTCTTTTTATTATTTTCAAACCTGCAGCAAATGCGCAGATCATCTCATAGCCTTTTAAACTTTCTTTTAGAAATCTTTTAAGAAAGCTCTGTCTACTGTCTAAGTTTTATACATATATATATATATGGTATCAACATTCTGATATCAGAAGGCAGTTCTCTTCTTTTGTAGCTTACGGAAAAATGTGAGAGCTTTAAAATCACCATAGCATTTGGTGTATGTTTACAAAGCATAATTGTGACGACTGTTGTTTTTATTTTTGTGATATTCAAATGTAAAGTTTACAGGATATGATAGTCTTAAAGGAATACCAGATTATCCATAAAATGTTCTCTAAATTTTTTCATATATCTTATGAACTTTATTTACTGTTCTTCAAAGTTTCGATTTGACAATTTTACTTCCACAAGAAACGCTGGTACATTTACTT